TGATATTGTCCATGCACACTATATTCTGAAGTTGTTACTTTCAAATGCCTCTTGCACCTTTCTATCTACCTCTTCTCCTATTCTTCTCCTTATGCTTTGGTTTCTGTGTTATCTCTTGTAACTGTGTTACCTCTTGTTACCTTTTTTCTTTACCTTTCAGTTGAAAGGAGGAGACGATTTAACATCAATGATCGGATTAAAGAACTAGGGACTTTGATTCCAAAAACAAATGATCTGTAAGTATCTCTTTGAAACCATGTTCGCAGCATGACACATAGATGTGTTTTGGCCCAGACTGGCTTTGCGGCAGAACCACAAATATTTGGTGGGCCCTGGGGGTTTTTATATTCTCTGTTTCCTATTACACTGTATTCTTTTCACTACAACCACTCTGTACACATTGGTTGAAGAAACCTCTGGAAACTTGTTTTTGTGATGTTTTCATGTGCTTGTGGGTCATAAGTGCAGATTTTAAAATAAAAGAAGAATAGGGAGCTTTGTGGTCAATTCAGGGCTTGAATCAGTTTGTGATGGATTTACTTCCTCTCTACAGCAGTGACACTCGCTGGAACAAAGGCACCATCCTGAGGGCATCCGTAGACTACATCAAACATATGCAGAAGGAGCAGCAGAGGAGCCGGGACCTGGAGACGCACTCCAAACAGCTGGAACTTACTAACAAGCAATTATGGCTGCGAATCCAGGTAAAAGTTTGACTTCAAATCATTTAAAGCTATCAATTCCCAAAATACGGTCTACACTAGGCATATCAAACTCTGCCACCCTCCTCCAGATGTTGAACTACAATTCCCACGACTATCTGGCAAACCACTGTATAAAAAGAATTCTGGGAGTTGAAGACCATAAATATCTGGGGGCCCAGAGTTTAAGATCAGTGTTGCGTCCTATGCAATGGTATTTGCAGTCTGTCACATGGAAATGTATACAGCTGAACTTTAATTCAAAAAAATATTGGTATATGTAACAAAAAATGATAATTTGGCTCTAATCTTCACAACCCTTATACATTCCAGACACATTTTCTCTCTTTTCATCTGTTGCAGGAACTGGAGTTACAAGCCCGGGCACATGGCATTTCAGCATCTTCTCCTCATGGACTAAGTCCAGCTGATCCCTTCAAACAAGAACCTGACCCAATGCCAGTTGTCCAGCAGCCAACAGTTACACCACAGGCATCTTACCAGCCTCAGCTGGACTTCTCCACAGAGCTTGCTTACCAGAGCAGTGCCTGTGCAGAAACTTCCTTCCCTGATATATCCAGGACGGAATTGGACCTCATGCTGATGGATGATGCCATGATGACATCTGATCCCATGATGGCTTGTGATCCTCTAATCTCCACCCTTTCCCCAGACACTTCTAAAGCCAGCAGCCGGAGAAGCAGCTTTAGCATAGATGAAGTGGATGGACTGTGACACCATATGTTTGAAGGACCTTCATGCCTGTTCTCTTGAGGAGACATGGGCTGTGACCCTGCCTTATTTATAAGACAGTTTGGACACTTATACACCATTATCCATATACATGGATGCATATGCACTGGACAATACACTTGGGTATATTCAGAATATCTTGTATCTACAGGTAAACATCTACAGGTATACATAAATGTATAATACCCAGAGTTACATACACAAGATTGAAAAAGAACATATACAGATCTGTATTTTGACAATGACCTACAATTGCATAAAATAGGTCTACAGCCAGCATTTAAAAAAAAAGTTGATCCTCCTTACACACACCTAACTTGGTGTAGGAGTGACACTTGCACACAGGCACATCATACAGCTTGCTCACTGCCTCAACTCTTCTGGAACACAGATCTCAAGGAAGACTTGCCAAAAATCTAAAGTGCCTTCTAGAGCAGAACTCAAATATTTGTGAATGTTTGTGTAAGTGGGTGCATGGCAAGGAATGAATGTAATTAGTGGAAGCATGCAACCTCTTATATTGTGTGAATGATGTTTACTATGAAGGTGGATATATCTGTTTTGGTTACAGCATCTGTATAGTGATTTGGATGCTACCATAGCTCGCTAGACCCAATTGGTCTATATGCATAGTAAAGCAATTTTACTGGTAAACAGCTTTTTTTATTCTGTTTTGCTGAGTGAAAGGTGTTTGAAGTAATCTGTTTTTAAATATATATTTTTTTTAATCTAGCCATATATTGCCTAGTCTGAAAATATGGTTCAGATTTTATTTAGGGCTGCACTTGTCCTTTGATAAGTTATGTCAAAGTCTAAGAATCATTGAAATCAGGTCTGCTCATAAAGTTCCTGCATTTATAAGTGTAGGGATGCCAAATCGTGATTTGATTTGGGGACACCTATGATAAATGCATACTTCAGGTCTGTGAAAGTTAAAATATAGCTCTTGCCTTTTTATTTTTATAGGTATCCCAAAATAATCTGCTAATGTAGTCACCTTGAAAACTCCTGAACGTGTGGTTGGGGAAAAAACTCATGGTCTAATGATACTTAGTCACAGACCCCAAAGACTCAGTATTGTGTCCCTGTGTGTCTTATTCTACCTTTGTTTAACTGTTTCAGCCATGTGTGTCTTAAAAATATTAATACTAGCTTTTTTTCCATATGTGGGGTGTTTGTATGCAAATATATACAAATAACCTGTCACTTTGAATGGTGTTTGATTGACAAACTATGCAGTCACTATAATCTGCATATGCATTTAATATAAATTGATCTAATTCTGTACAGACATACACAATAGTTTATGTAGATATGTACTTAAAATATATGTTGCGAAACGCACATATTCTTCTCCTGAATGGCTTCATATGCCTTTCAACACAGACCTGTAATTAATATTTAATGCAGGCTTTTTTCACTCAATCCCAAATTGTAGTGTGTTGGACAACTGTAGTGCAAAATTTACCCCAAAAATGTTCAACTCCTGTATAGTCACAGCTTCATTATTTTAGCCTAAATTCTGCAGCTCAGTTTTCGATTCACTACAATTCGCCGTTTATTGAATTGGGGTTATTCACTTAAGTGTGAATTGCTGGAAATACTAAATTAATTCAAAGTTAGGCCATATGTTTCTTTACTAGAAGACAGTGCAGTATGATAAGGAAACAGCCATACCCCAATGACTCTTATAATATAGTAAAGTTATTTTCAATTTGTTTTGTGTTACAATTGTTTTGCTATTTTGCAGTGGAGATTTCAAATATAATAATTTTTTATACCAAAGAATTTTTCTTAAAGCAGATCTGCTAATATTTGATGTACTGGCCCCCGCCTCCATATTGCCCTCAAACTCTGTGCTTTAAAAAGCTTTCAGTCACTTCATATTTCTAGGACACATTAACCGTATATGTTACTGTTCGGAGTTTCATCACTACACTGGAAATTATGAAATATTGACACTGGAATTGTACATTTTAGGCAATAATAGTTGAGATGGAAAATTGGTGAATTATTCCAGGTTAGCTATTTTGCACCAAAATTATTTTCAATTTCCTTATCCGTTCTCCATAATTTTCAACCTCCCTCTGATACCTCAATCTTGCTTTTAGAATTCGGAGAAATCACATATATTTCTGTGTGGATGTCTTAAAGGTTCGCGGGTGTATATTTTGATCTTGTAGGATGTATGTATGTCTGGGTATCCCCAATTAAAATCGATTAATCAACCTACATAACTCAAATTAAAGGAACATTTTTGTACATTGTGTTGCTTTTGGACTAAATAATTGGCTGGATTTTTTGCCATGATAAATTTTTGTATTGTTTTAGCAAAAACAATATTTTGCAATAATATGCATATAAAAAAAAAACATTCGAGTGTTAAACATAAATTTATATATAATGCTGGAGTGTTGTACTACTGATTTAGAGTGAGTCTCCAGTTTTCCCTGAAATAAAGCAATTGCCTGCAATCCAGCACATGACAACACTGCTTTGCTCACCAGGGGGTCTTTACATGTTATAAACTCCTGACCACTAGAATGCTTCTCAAAGAGTGCACGTGGAATCTGTGCTTCCCTAGGAGAGGCACTTCCTTCCGCTTTGTGATAGGGCACAGTGCAATCTGGAAGAGCATTATCATGGCTGTCTGATTGAAAGTTGGGAAGGTGCAATCCAGACGCTTTATAAAAATGATAATTTCTCTTACCATTTACTCTTTTATAAAGTGACAAAGAGAAGATATGTTTTTCACACTTAAAGCACTTCAACAAGGATGTGGCATGTTCATTTAATCTCGCCTCCTCTGTCTGACCTACTTAATTATGAAATAAATCTTTCTTGCTGGTTACAGTATTGAGGTGTATGATATCCCAGCTCCCTTTCCTCCTAATCTTCCATTTTCTGGTAGTTGTAGCTCACAACCCTTCACTTCCCATAAATCTCTGCTGTGCAGGTATTTGTGGGATAAATTCAGCACATTGAAAAGACCCATCCTGATTGATTGATCGCTTCCTTTTTTGAGCAGTGCTAATTGCATAAAATGCAAAGCCTGTGAATTTATTGTAAAAGCCGCTACTTCAAATGTTTTTTTTTTTTGTTGTTTGTTTGTTTTGGTATGTCTTTTATTATTTGAATTGGTTGTATTGCATTACAAGTGAGTCAATTCTAGCCATGAGTGCCATTTTAACTGTCTCTTTAAGCAGACGTATCCAGAACTGTGTGTACAACCTTTGAATTCAGGAGTTTTAGCATCCCAAATTTAGATTTTTTTTTTTTTTTGGTATGTGTGTGTTTATATCACCCAACACCTCTGAATATGCTACATTAGAAATGAGCCCTATCTCATTACAAGGTGACCTGCTACATCTGCTCAGTATCACTCATAACCCCTCTGCTCATTTTACTTGTTAAAAAGAAACAGATTGAAGACGCTCAGTGCATTGATCTTGTGTGGTGTCCAAACATAACTGAACTGAAAGTAACCGCGAAAGGGGTTTGCCGTCTGTTACACATTTCATTGCACTAAATCACAGGTCCTGCAGACAGTGAAGATCTTCCTTTCACATAACCTAGAATGTCATTTCTCCAACAACCAAAGAAAAGCTCATTCATTTCCTGTGGTGTTAACTGAACTCTCATTTATGACATATGGTCAGAAGAACTGGCCACTGCCAAAAATGGTTGCAAATGACTGTGATATACACTTTCTCACCGGAGGTCTCTGAACTTTTGTCCATTTAAATTCTGGTCCATCCCAGACAACAAGCATAAAGTTTAAACTTGAAATGCTACTGGTGAAGACTGTAAATGATTAACCACAAATAACTATAATACATGTGTTGCCAACACACAACACTGGGCATTTATAGATAGGGCAGATTATGACTGTGCGAATGCTCAGAATCCTGTATGCCTTATTTATTGCCTTTTTATACCTGAGCATTTTGACTTCTTCCCGGGGAAAGTATGAATTAAGGACAATCAGATGCTCAGTAGCCTTCTGCACTAGCAAACGCAACACACTGCTTTCTGTTGCCGATATCTAGACATGTAAGGGACAGAATGCCAAATTAAAACCTTTGTGGCAGCCTGTTTTTTTATTTTATTTCATAAAATACGTGTTCTTTATACACTGGAGAGTTGTGAATTCTTAATGTTAATTAAATGTGGCTAACTATAATCAATGAGCCTTTGCTTTTGGCTATGCACCATACAGTTCAATAATGTATCATATTCCTCTGAAGTTTCCTTTTTGTCCTAAATGATCACCCATTTCACAGATAATTATGATTTTATGTAGAATCATTTGCTAGCACTTGGGCTGTTAAATTATTGCTCTTTTTTTTTTTTTAACAATACATTAATTCAGCCTCAGGGAATTTAAAAGGCCTGTAAAAATCTAATGGTAAACTAACTCCTGAGTGCCTTGTGTATATAACCTATTTTAAGATGTTTGCTGTTTGCGACAGAATATTGTCCTTTATGCGTGTAAGACTGCATGCACTGCTTCTTTGTCAAATGTTTTGATGAAATCACTCATTGTCTAAGTAATATTTAAAATAAACCTGGGCCTACGATTATATACATACACACACACACTATTACAGGAATATGGATGGGCTATTTATAAAACAGCCCAACTGACTATCGTCTTGTTCACTTACAACAGCCAACACAAGAGGGCGCCACAAGTACTAGAAATGGCAAAGATCACAACTGCTTATTTAAAAACTCATTTAAATATTCAGGTATTTGGTGTGTAGCTTTAATACCATTTGTAATGGCTCTGTGTAGAATTTACTGAGATAACTTTATAAATATTTACTTGGTTTATATAACATGTAAGATAGAATTGTTCACTGGGAGAGAAATACGAAGTGGCAACTGTGTTATGGTTTACTTCTCTCCACTGTTGCCCAGTAATTATGGCAAAGAATAAATAGCCATAGTAGAATGCCAACCACTAAAAGTACTCAGTAACATATTAGAATGGCATGAACACTTTGTTTTATGTCTCTTCTCCTTTTACACTTTACATAGGTGTTCATTTTTACTGCAGCTTTTATAAAAACAGGGACAGAACAAACCATAGGCTTTAATTCTCTTTGCTTTCTAGAGAAAAATACTTTGATTTTAGAACCAGCTTTAAAATTTATTTATTTTTTCTCTCCTGTTAATGTTTGAGCAATTCAACAAAGTAATGCAAATATGCAAGGAATTGTATAACTTATCACTAGCCAATTGTGTTCTATTATTGTGTTTGATATTTTCACATTTCTAATGTGTCCTTGAGTTAGGAAGTAGATGTCTGGAAGGCTTTTTGAAATAACAACCCCGTTTTTCTTTTGTAAATACAACATTTTGATATATTTGGAGGGATTTTCCACTGCAATTTTATTTTTCTATTTCTGATGCACAGGTGTATCACAATAATGTTCTAGTCTGTGTAGAATTTTAGAAGGTTTTTAAAGGTCAGTAAAGTAGTTGTTTTAATGCGTTATTTGTAGATTTGAATCATGTAATTTTCTAAAAAAAAAAAAAAATAGCACTAAACTACAAACTGCTAACAGATGGAAATTTTACATTTTATTTGCTAAAATATTCATGAATTACACTGTTGGATGTTCTTACAGCCCATCATGAACACATATCACCATCAGATGTGACCAGTTAAGGTCATTGCACTAAATGCAAATTCGTGTGACCAGAGTCAGAGGAAGGAAGTGCTGTAGCAACCATTTTGTAACAGAGAGGTGTCTTGGAGGATAGAGTTGTTAATTGATCAAAAGTAACCTAATTTACTATATATATATTTTTTTTTAAACTAGTCTTAAAAATCATTTATATATATACATATATTTATTATTTTGTATTTTATATTTATCATAAGAAAAATCATTTTCCATCTCAAGTCTCTGGATTCTCTCTGTTGAATTATTTCTAATTCTCGTAACTTAGTTCTTACTCTCGTGTAGTAAATAAAGACTATTTTGCATTCAATTTTCTGGGCAGTACAATCGGTATTTCATAATGCCTTAATATAATTATACATATAGACATTTATAGTTAGTCTTAGTAAATTGTGGTGACAGTATCATTTGTTTGTTTTTTAAAGTGAACCTGGCTTGATAGGTTATTTTTAACACATAACCACTTGAAAGCCTTTAAATGTATCATTACATTAGTAGTCACCTGCTGCCCCTTACACCAGTGCCACCATTTTTGTTGTGTGTTTGGATGTTATAACTATTGTGCTGTAACATCCACTGTCTATTTCCTTTCTCTTCTCTGCTGTGAATGTGCCTGTTTGAGACACGTCCCCAAGCTTATCATGACATACTGACTTCACTGTCAGAACTTTGGTGTCTGTGCATCCAAAATTATATTATCCTTATGCGTGAGAAAAACCTCCTGCATGCCACTGACATAAATTGAAGTCTGATTTTCAAGTGGAAGAAGGCCAAATCTTTCCTGGGTATTAAATTAATATCTATACATTTCCAAGTATTTATGCTAGCATATTGTGTAGATGAAACGTCATGCTCTTTAATTGTAGCCCATGTTGTGTATATCATGATAGGTACACTGTTAGCAGTATACTTTTTCAATAATTAACCATTTTTAAATACAGAAATACACAAGATTGACTTTTAGTGCATGTCTGCAAATGATGGTCTACTCCCAGAATGATTGGTTACTGATGTGACTTTTTTACTTGAGAACCTGGCTGCAGGTTTTACCCTACTGTGATAGCATACGATAGAAGAATGGTGTTTGCACTGTATACTACTTAATCTGCTTTGTTTGTAGAATTGCAGTTTTAATGGTACTCTTTAAACACCCTAACCGCTATAACTTAACCATCCAGTTGCATGCAACCTTAGATAGCAATGATAAGTTGCCATCGCTGTGCTGTTCCACACAAATGCTTTCAGCCTATCACTGCCATTCATGGTTGGGCAGATAAAGTGAAACTTTGACATTGGCAGACCACGGACTAGGTTTGGTTGCCACTTGAAAATAGTCTGACAAAAACTGATTTCTACACAAAAACTTTATAGTGGTTATAGTGCTTATATTGTTGTAAGTTTGATCTTTCTTTCTAATCAGTGAAGCAAATACTTGTAGAGCATATGTCTTTCTCCCCACTAGAACCTAGTTAGTTTTTGTCGTAACACAAAGGCCTGTTAGACTATTGCACATGCATCATGGTAATTGGAGGATAGGGGAGCTATTGCTAATCTTGGTTGCAGCACATAGTACTCCTGAGATAATGGGAAATTAAATCCAATCTAATTTTGATTGAATTTTCACTAAAAGAATAACTTGTTCTTTAGGGCAGGCTTCCTCAAACTCCGGCCCTCCAGATTTTGCTACAACTCCCATGATTCTCTGAATGAAATAGGCTGAGAATCATGGGAGTTGTAGTTCAGCAACATCTGGAGGGGCCGGAGTTTGGGGAAACCTGCTTTAGGGCCTTTCTCAATTTGTGTCTAATTTGAAAAACCTTTAAAACCACAATCCAAGAGCTGGATAGTCTTTGCAGAGTAAAGGTTTTTCTGTGTTTACTAAATTGCTTACCGGACAGCAATTTTGCCCCGAGACTTAAATGGAGCAATTGGCAGAGTGTACCCTTACTCTCTTAAAATAATCCAGAACCAGATGATTATCTCCCAAGTGCCTTGATTTTTTTTGTTGTTTTTTGGAGACGGTCTGTATTTGGGCCTCATGTTACTTGTTTAACCTTCATGTCTAGCTTTATTGGATCACTGGATAAGGACAGATTAAAAAAGGGGTTTTACAGCCAAATAAACTTTTCTGAATGTTACCTAGCCTACTCGTGCACCAGTGTCTGAAAATCCTTCACTATAGCCCCCTTTCCCACTATTTGTTTCATGCCAGCTTTCATGAGTGTTTCACTGTATGATTGTGCCATTTTGTTAATCTAATTGAACATTAGGTAACCGCAACCTATAAACATTTTAGTAAATAGCAGGTGTAATCAGCTCATACGATGAGCACATGAAAATGGATTTTCGATTGAAATGATCTTGCCATTATCCAGTGTTGTGTGTGACACCCTCTGTGTTGGCTGTATTTCCCTGCAGATTTGTAGACATTGCTGTTTGATATATCCTTGGAAGTGTTAAGGGAATTCCAGTAAACATCAAAGTTGTTGTGGAAATGGTGATAATGTGTCAGTTTTATGATCAAAGCATCAGTATCAGGGACATGTAAAAATAAAAATAAAAAATGAAATGAACTGCATTTAATGTTAATTTCACATTTACAAAATAAATTAATACTTCTGTATTTAAAAACTAAAATGGTGTCCGTGTTATTTGTTCTTATGCATTTGTTAGAACAATTAATTTTATAAATGTTAAAGAAACAATCAAATATTCTATACAGATTTGTATATATTTTTTTAATATCTGCAAACTTGTATTGTAAAATGCACTTATGTGTACGTGCTCAAAATTCTTAATTCCGTTTGCATTGCACAGAGGAGCCTTTAAATCACATCACCACCACCTGCCACATCAGCACGTTTTAGCAACTCAGCCTTTGCTGCTGAAGAGCAGCTGGGGCAGAAGTTGGTGAGGTTCCTTCCACGTGGTGAGGTATTCGTGCAGCTGCCTTAACTGTCTGTAATACAGATGTATGATTGTAGCCATGCCACTCATACTGACATATTAAGTCTTGATAAAGGCTCAGAGAGGAGCCGAAACATCTCCACTTCCTTGTTTCAAATAAAGATTGCCTTTTAGAAGAAACCTCAGGTGTGCCTGGATATTTCTTTGTTTTCCCATTTGATGTCTTCAGGGATTGACCCTCCCTTTCTGGAGCACCCTGCAGGAAGTATTCCCCCCTTTTTAGTGAGTGTTTTTTACTCGTTTTTTTGCAGACTCCTACGGACATAAACCATGTTTATATTTTGCTGGGCTTTTGGGAATCTGTATTCCCAATAATTTTAACAATTTTTTTAAGGACCAAGAGCATTGTATTTGATCAATTGTATTGCTATTTTGTGGCATACTTGTTTGTTACAAAAATTATAGTCTTATGATAATTTGTGTGAAGGCAGCTAAAGGATTTTTATAATAGGGATACTGTATAGCTCTTTATAATATATAGCCCCTCTCAAAAATAAAGACATATAATCTAAACATAAACCTTTCTGTGTTAAGAATAATTAATAAAATAATAATAAAAGCAGTATTCTAAAAGTGGGGAAATCACCATGGTAACCAGTGGAACTAGTCCTAATTTACTAACAATAATCCATCTTTCAAAAATAAATATTAGGGAGTTTGCCATCTAAAAATACATACAAATTCACCTTCAAATATGTATAGATTTCCAGGGTTTATCACTGAGTTCTTAATGCCCCCAGTTTGGGTTAGTAAAAAATAATCTGAGCATTTGTATGGGCATTCAGGCTCAAAAGCAGGTTTTTGGGGTTTTTTCATTAGATTTATCACTGTCTGGATTTTGCAAAAGCTGTTATCAAATTCCCTTGAATGTAATCTGTAGTCAACCTATCCCCATGCTACGAAATGAATTATGGAAATAGTAATAATGACTGGGTCCAAGTGATTAAAAACTGGAATAATATCACCCATACATTTACTAGCCATTTGCTAACCGAATAAATACAGGAAACATTGTTCGCTGCAAAGTGAAGCCAAGTCATGCTCCACACAAGTTTTAATATCTTCACTAAGGAGTTATTTCTTTTTTTAGGGGTGGTTAAGAAAGAAAAGGTATGACATGTATAGTTAGCATATAAATTTAGGAGAAAATGTAATGTCTACAGATTGATATTTAAAGACAAACTGCTATCTTACCACCGAACAAAACTTTGCTCACCTGTAACTTGTTAACTTCTTTAGATGTGATGCTACATTTTCTTTTAAATTTATATTTTGAGACTCAGAAAATGGGATTACAATAAAGTACAGCCCAAGCACGGCCAGAGACAAGGCACATATGACAAATGACAATTATATATAAAAACAGAAATGTATCAAAAAGCTTATGAAACTATATTTTATTTCGCTCTGTAATCAGTTTGTGTTTTATTGACTTGTTTGGAAAAGTGTTTATATACCTCTATAAAAGTGTCTATACCTCGATTCTCTCATTTTTAGTTTTTTCCCCCCTTTAATAACATACATTTCACAGGATCAAATGATCCTATCTTTTTGAATTTCTGTAACACCTAAGCTCCCCAAAAACAAGCTTTACCACTGTCCAATCCCTGTATACTAACATAAAAGCTCAGATCCTGATTACAGGAGCAAAACAAAATACCTTCTAATGAAACTAGACAAGGGTGCCCCCTCTCACAGCTGTTATTCGTGTTAACAGAACATTACTACAAGTTATTCATGCATACCCAAATCTCAAGGGGGTTAAGGTCGGGGAACAACACTTTTTGATATTGGGATACGCTGATGATGTGCTCCTCACCTTGACTAATCTGATCACATCAATGAATAGTCTACAACCCATTCTGCTAGAATATGGAGATATTGCAGGATATAGAGAAAATTTGGAAATGTCAAACGCACTTTCATTACATCTCCCGGCCACAGACATGGCACTAGTAAGGACCACATACAGATATCAAGAGTCTTTTAGATACTTGGGCATCCAAATTACAACTGATCCTAAGAGATTATATCAAAATAATTACTACCAAATAAGCCATAACTTAATCGGGGACATGGAAAGATAGTTAGATAAATCGGTATTGTGTGTGGGCAAAATCCATTCCATACAAATTTATATTGTCCAAAGACAAAAAGCAATAGATAACTTCAAATGGCAAAATAAAGTACATTGCATCGCCAGAAATTAGTTTTATCGTCCAAAGTTAAATGGTTGACTAGGGTTGCCAAATTTATATCTTGATGTAGCACTCCCTTTCCCAAGAGGCAAGAAAGTGAGTTGACCTGGTGTTCTTGTTGATGAGGCGGATCTACTGCAGTTATTTATATGAGTTCCAAAAGTAGGCAAAGCATTCCTTTTGTACAGAGTGCCTGGTTGCTGTGAACTCCCTCTTTGTGTGGAATGCTGCTGCACTAAGATACTCTGACCACATTTTACTCTCCACTCACTCGTATAATAAGAAACAGAGCTTTTATATCTGGCATGATGGCACAGGATTTCATGGGCATAGAGAATACTGGAATTTAAAGATTCTTTCAGCTCTTCAAAGACTGCAGATTTTTGCCCTTCCAGGACATCCAAAAACACACACATCAGACAGTGGCAGACTATTTCAAATATAAACAAATTACAGATTTTAATGAAGAAACCTATGACCTTATTTGAAAAGCTCTGTCTAGAGGAGCCTAATCAGAAGAGGCCCATCACACTGCTATACACAGCCCTATGTGCGATTTGGTATGTAGGTTGCAGTATACTGATGAATGGGAGGACATTGACTGGAAGCAAACAAACATCTATAAGCATCACCCTGCAGGAATAGGATTACAAAGCTATGTTCTGATGGTACATCATCCCGGTCAAGTTATACTACTTGACAAAAAATTACTAGCAACCAGTGCTGGAGACTGTGAGGAGAGAAAGGGACAAAGGTCACATGTGGTGGTTCTGCCCTGAGGTAGCTGGCTTTTGGAGGGAAGTGGAGGGATCTCCTATCACAAGTTTTTGGTAGACGGATCAACCTAGATCCATGGGTATACCTGTTATCAAGACCAAAAACTTTTCAATAAAATAACTTTAGTGGCTAGAAGGGCACCAGCCCAGTCTTGGTTAAGAAGGGAAATACCATCAATGAACCTTGTAATGCTTAAAATCAAGGATAACTGGTTGATGGATAAAGTGACAGCACAAGTTAGGAATACTACCACCTCCTTTAACAAGATATGGCTTCCCTAGGAGGAGTTTCAGTGGCTTCCCTGGGAGGAGTTTCAGGACCGGTAATACCTGTTAACTATTAATTTTCTAGGTGTGGTATAACTACCCACATGACATTCTGTAATTTCTTTTAATTAGTTTCTCTTTTTCATTTCCATTCTCCTCTTCACTCTTAGTTTCTCTCTCTTCTATTCTTAGTCTCCTTGGAAAGTTGGGAGAGGAGACATTTCTTCCAGCATTATATAAAATGAAATAAGAGCGAAGATGCTGTTCATACATAAATAGAGAAGGATAATAAAATAAAAAAAATAAAAAATATATATATAAATAAATAATAAATACATATACAACAGTGATTCCTTGCACTCAAGCCAAATATTGCAAAGTGTCAGGTGCATACAGCCTAGGCCAGTCAAGATAGACAATCAATGGAGAAGCTTGCCCTCTCGGTCTTGTAGTGGTTAAAAAGTTTAAATGTTTATTGAAGATCCATTTAAAATATCAATGTTTCAGTCCCCGTCCGGGGCTTTCTTCAGGATAAGGACAAGCTAAACAACAATCATATTTATACCCAAATAATTAAAATAATGAACTTACCCCAGGTGAAGTGAACACCGCCACCACTGAACAAAGTGCGCATGTGCAAAGTGTTGCTCCGCCTCTACGTGTCGTGATGACGTGAGTTATGTTCTGTCCGTCTCTCAGGCAACATAACTCACATCATCACGACACGTAGAGGCGGAGCAACACTTTGAACATGCCGACCGCGATCTGGCGGTGGCTTCATTGCTTGTTTACATCGCGCTCTAACAAAGCCATACTGCCGCGAGAATCTCGCGACTTGATACTCAATTTCACGCACTTTTCTGTGACGCGCTCAGTCCCCACCTCCGCTTTAGTGCCAGTGGCCATTTTAGTACGGCAATTTATCACTCCGTGGTATCAAAGCTTTTTTCTATATACAACTTCACGTTTCTTGGCTTACTTGTTTGCAATGCAAATGTCCACTGAAAGACAAAAGGCTGTCCTATATAAAATAGATGCAAAGTTGGCAGATTTGAGTTCTAAAGAACTCGGTCCGGAGGCTAACAGCCTATTGTTTAGTGATCAGTTCATGAGGGATCTCAACAAGCATGTCTCTGTGTTCACCTCACTTAATAAAGCTCAGACCTCTCTCCGCAGATTGTTTCGGTCCCATCGTTTTTCTGGCAGAGCCAGTCGCCAAAGAGGCTGAGCTAACGGCAGATCTGCCTTCACAGGCTACAGGCCTCGCCCCTATTACAGGCAACTCTTCACAAACAGAGGCTTGATCAGAGGACGTGGGTCTGCTTCTCTCCGGGGCCGCACTGATAGATGTGCCTTCCTAGTACCTATTGCAGGCCGCTTATCCCTTTTTTCCCCCGCAGTGGTCTCTGCTCACTCAGGATCCTTCAGA